GAGAGAGAGAGAGAGAATGAAACTATAACAATATAATAATAATTTTATGAACTTTTATAGCAAATATTGATAACAGAGCAAAAGCTTTCAATTTTCTTCTCCATTAATATTATGGAGAATATACTATTATGGATTCTCTTATTCTCAAAATATATATTTATAATTGAATTTTGAAAGAAACTGAAAGGATTTGGTTCAAATTAATCGATTCATTAGTCAATTAGATCAATAAATTTCTCTAAATCGTTCTATGATACGTACTATGAAAGATATATAATATCTTTTATAAAAAACGATACTTCTTATCGGATATCCTATTTATCGATGAATCGATCGATAATTAACAATTTATGAAAAATTTAGTCCTTTAATTACAAAGGTAAAACAAAAATTTTTGGAGAGATAGTAAAAAAGAATTTTATATTTCCATTCAAAGAATGATAAAGCTCAGTTTTTATAAATAGTTAATCTGTGTAATTAAAGATTATTATAAATAATAATTAATTAATAATTAGTAAATAATTTTTTATTAAAAATTATTAAATGATAAAATAGCATTATTGAAAATAAAATTGTTTGCATTTGTATAATTATTGAAGCAAACAGAAGCTCAAAAATTAAGTTTTTTGGCAATAATATACATTTATATGCTTATTTAAAAAAAATTGCTTATCTATGCAAAAAAATGATTTGCTTTTTGTAAAGAAATCAATTGTCATGCTGTGATATTTTGCGAAAGAAAATATTTAAGTGAAATTTCTAAATACTTTTAATTGTGAGAAATGAATGCACATCAACTTTGCTCATTAATTTTAGTTGCTATTATAGAAAAGTTATAAATATTAAAGCTATTAGAGAAAAGAACCTAAATCTATAACTGATTAAAAGCAACCTTTCATATAAGTAGATACTATTTTTGGTAATAGTGATTGCATAAGCTTCTTGTCAAAGAAACGATACTATATTGCTTGAACTTTTTTATTGCCAGTCATATTGTTGCAGGATGAAATTAAAGATGAAACTAAAACAAACATTGGAAAGAATCTGATAACAATTTTTAGAGTTTTGAACACTTTGTAATATAATTTTATATAATTTGTATAATTTATATAATTGTATCTATCTCTAAGATTTTATCATAATATTATATGCAAATTAAATTCTGGAAGATATTATTACTCGATATACTTACTTCTTGAGCAATCGAGTTTCAATAAAAAATTATGATAAAGAATTCTTAATATATTTCAAATATAAAATATTGAATTTCCTCTCTTTGTATTATATAAATAGAATATTGTATAAATATATTAACTTGAATTTCAAGATTATATATCCAACATCTTATTAAATTTTCATTTACAATTATATATTCAGAAAATCATTCTAGAATTCTTTAAAAAATTCATAATCATGCAATCAACTCTGTTCAACATGCCAAGACTGGACATAGGTTAGGTCAAGCAACTATCACTTTCAAAACTTGATATATCAAATATTATTGATTTATGTTAGAAAGTACTATACTATTGAAATATTGAAATCATTAAAAACTGAATATATCCATGCAGCGGTATCAGCCGAATACAATGTTTAACATCCCACAAATTTCACTGTCATGTCTCTACACACTTTATGATCAATATTCTACTGGAACCATCTACACTTTCTACGTCACAACATGTTCAAGAATATACGTAACAGCGATTTCTGGCGAAAACGATTGAGAAGCGCAGGATTCCTGTGGATGACACCCGCAAATTAGATGATCGCGTTTTCACGATGCGGACGATAATGAAGAAGACGCGAGAATAACCGTGGTACGCGTGTCGCGTAAACATCGGATTCAGCAAAAGCCGCCAAAATCGAGAATTACGAAGGTGGTATCCGAAGAACAGCATTGGATAAAAAAGTGATAGTCCCCCCTACCCTCTTCCTCGGGCACCCGCTCCATCGCTTTCCCAAGAGTAACCCAGGCACTCGCACGCAGACGCACAGCTCTGCATTCGGAGACGGCCGACAGGCAAACGAGCGAAACGGCAAAAGAGCGCGGTAAGAGGGGCAACAAGTGAGGAAGGGGATCCCTGGGAGGGAGACTCGAGGAAGAGAGGTATAGTGCGGGGAAGAATATGGGATAAAGAAGAGGGGAGAAATCCGAGAGAACCGAGTAAAAGCTATGTGCTAGAGGTTAAGGCATGTTCTACGGTACTCACTGCTGACTCTCATGCCACCCAGGGGCGGATTCGAGGGCGCGTTAGTGCAATCGGCAAAGGAGGTGGTCCTCGGTCGGCTGCTCATTCTGAAATCTTCTTGACCCGCTTCTCCACCGCCACCTGACAGTCAAAACTTTAGAATGATATGCCGCTTCTGCTTCTTCCTCTGCTGGTCGCCGCCTCGGCTGGCCGTGCCACTTCCTCACGTGAAGATAGCCAGCAGTGCGTCTTCGTCGTCGCCGTCGTCGTCGTTGTTGTTATCGTCGTTGACACCACCTCGGACATCAATGACAGCACGAACGATAATTACATCGCACGCACGCATGCACGTCCGCACGGTTCGGTTCTTCTATATTACGCCACGGCCGCGCTCGATCGATGGATGGAGGGAGAGAAAGAGAGTGAGATAGGATAACACGCGAAAGAAGAGGAGAGAGTGAGAGAGAAAGAATAAGAGAGAAAGGGTGGGAGGAAGGGAGAGAGGGAGGGAGGGATGGATGGATGGATGGATGGATGGGAAGGAAGAGCTACGGGCGAGCAAAGCGCGCGCAAGATCGAGAAAACGGAAACCACGGCGAAGAACCGTGATTCACAATCGTTATAATCACTATAAAACAAAGAGAAGAAAATTCTCTTGGAGAAACAGCGTTGGTTGAAATTTTCGATCACTGTCAAACACTTCCTTCCAAATATATACGCTCCCGTTACCACTGACAATAGTGGCGGTGGCAGTGACGGTAGCGACTCTCGCGATCAAAACGTTTATCGTAACACAGCGCACACTGGGTTATACGCTCCGTTCGCACAAGCAACTTCGCGCGACAGGCTTGCCCGCCGATACGATTCACTCGATGCTCTTTTTCTCGTTTCTCCGATGAATGCTCACCACCGATTACGATACACCGCGTCGATGGCGTCCAACTAACGAATTGACACAATTTATGACAATCTTTCGTATTAACTGCTGACTGTCAGGGAATATCACGCACGAAGAGCGATTCTACTACCTAATAACTTGACGAGGGCGCGGAGTGTTGCGGAGAGCTATACCGCGAAGGGAGGCAGGGGTTGACGTTTTTGGAACGGTTCGTACACGTTCGCCAGTGGAGGCACACCGCCGCACTTGGTAGCTTTCCTATATAGTACAACTCCACGATGATCCGGTTGACGGGTCGAATTTCTTCGTCGTTTATAATAATCTCCTTATGTATCTAATCGTGGTCACTCTAGGAATTGTGACAATTTCAATTTTTCCTCTCTTCAACGATATCTGTTACAGTTTTTTGAGTTACATTGTATTTTTCTATTTGTCTTATCCTTTTTGCTCTAATACCATCGTTGATTATTTTTCTCCCTTTCTCTCACTCGTTTTCTTCCTTTCTCTATCACTTATTCTCTCTACTGTTTTCTCTCACTTCTACGCTCCTAGTTTTGGATCGTGCGGGGGAAGCGTTACTCTCTTACCTCCACTACCACTCTTTCTCACTCGCTCTATCTTTCTCGATATACTTCGAATCTTGTCACTACTCGTCACTCCTACGTTTCTTAACTTGTCAGGCCGGACGTTATCAACTTGCCAGGCTAGTACACGCTTCGTCGCAAACACTTTTGTGCTATATGGAGAAACAAACAGGAATCGTGCTGACGCCGACGTGGACGTCTTCGTCGTCGTCCGTGTCGACGTTGCTCGAAGGGAGATCGTCGTTACCGTCGTTTTCCACCTCTGGTTTCGATAATCGTGAAATCACTATACAACTGAACGTCGCTTCGAGCCTGGCGGCGGGAAAGGGGTAAAGGCGCAAACTGGACGTACGCGGCAAAATCAATTCTTGATAATCAACGACGTTTTCTCTTTCTCACCGTGCACACGAACACCAAACCACTTACGAATTTTTCGAAGCCTCCTCAGACATTGACCCGTTCGGGCTAGATCGGGCCACTCGAATGTCGACGGACATTGCCGAAAGTGACGTCAGTAATACCCCGCCCTGCCTCTTACCCAGCGGTTTATCCTATAGCAAGTGGGATGGCGCTGTGATCACATATACCATCGTCATCTTGTGGCAATTTTTGATATTATAAAAGTTGAGCGGGAAAATTAAGTGTTAATTATATTTAATACTCGATCGTTTCATTCGGATACATATTTATTTATTGATATATTTTATTAAATTTATTATTTCTTTAGAATAACGATAAAATAACTAATTTACCATAATTCATTTAAATTTAATAATCATTTTTTAAATTATTATCTATATAATATATTTTTTATATATGTAATATATGTAATTTAATATTAAATGCGTGATTATTATATTATAAGATAAGAAGACAATGATTGATAATTTATAATTATCATTATATTTTCAATTTTATCATTAAAAATTAAATAATAAAATTTTTATTATTCGAAAAATTAAACTCATTATTGCTAATACAAACTTTAAACATATTTCATTTACAGAAACACACATACATATATATATACACTTCTTACATATATATTTCATCTATCAAGTCAATAATATCAAAAATATTACTAAAATTTTGTATAAGGTATAGACAAAAAAGACGTATAGACAAAAAATGATGTCAATGTTAATCAATCATAGACAAGATATCATCGACAAAATAGTTAAATAGATTATGCTATATAAGAATAATTAAATATGAAATCATTGAAATCATGAATGAACTACAATATAGATTATCATACACGAAACATAGAATATATGCATTTCTTTAGAATCTCTTTACCATTTTAGTATCATTCTCAACATTACCGATTTAGCATGGAATAAGATTATAATATCACTGGTGGTTAGAATTGAAATTAAATTTTGATATTAAGTTATATATATAAAAATATATGTATTATAATCATACAATTCTATATTATTATTATAATTATAAATTTTATTAAAATATTAATCAAAGATAAAAATTGCAAAATTCAATTATAAAAAAATATAAAATTGAAAAGAAAAATCGATAATTTTTCGTTAAAATAATAAATTTGTTAAAATAACGTATTTCTATATTTATTTCTATATTTATCCATTATAAAATTTATAAATTATTGTACTTTTTAATTTATTGAAAATATATTTTATTATTAGAATTGTTAATAGATTAATTATTTATTACAAATATACATAAATTATTTTTTTATTTCATATTTATTTCATATTATTATCATATTTAAAATTTTTTTAATTTACTAAATATTTTATGTTTTCTTTTATATTACATGTTTAATCTAATATTAGATTTTTGTATTAAATCAATTTTAATAATTAATTTTTTTTACGTTTATAATAAACAAATTTTTGAAAAATTACGATTTTCAAAGAAGGATTTTGATGAGAAAATTTATAATTAATGTGTATTATATAATATTTCAATTTTTGCGCAGTTTAAGTATAAATAAACAATTGCATCGTTTCAGCCAATTAGGGAGCAGCTAGTAAAACCTGTTGCGCTTGGCGTCACTTTTCTATCAAAAATCATCGAGATGAAATGTGTCACCGATTTAACGTGCGTGATTTCAAATAATACACAATAATTCTATTCATATTATTCATATTCACATGTTACTGAATTTATACATTACTTTTAACTTCATTTATTTAATAATTCATAAATCATTATAAGAATGAAATTAATTAATATTTAAAATTTTTTTGTATTCTTTTCTTCAATTTTCTATTTAATTGTCGAGGTTACCTGTAATTTATGTTTCTTTAAAAAAAACAGAATTTATTTTGCTTTATTTGCTTTATTTTAATAATTTTAATAATTTCAAACATATATATTTTGTTTTGTATGATTTTGTATGGTTTTATTTGTGTAGTTTTATCGAAATATTAACGTTGAAAAAATAATTCATACATCACGACGATTTGTAATTAATGATTTTACATGTATATTAAATAACATTTTATTTCTTTTCATAAAAATAGAAGTATTTAAAATAATTTTCCATTGTCTTTTTTTTATATTGAACTAAATATGTACAATAATTGGTTTATTATAATTTTATTTTATGAAATTAAGCTATTTTAATATAGCTTAAGTATCTTTTTCTAAATATTAATATAAATATTTTCTATATTTTTATTAATTATGTATATTTGTCTCTTATACTATATTTATATTTATATTTAAAGTACAAAAAACATTTTTCATATTTAATATAGTTTTTTTTAGAAAATTAAAGCATTGTATTTATATATTTTCAATTTGTCATCGAATTATCGTCCACTTTAATTTGTTGTAAACTATCGATCCTCTCTCTAATTTAATAAATCGAAATCGTGGTACATTGTTTCTAATTGTAGTATTTCATTTTTATAAACATTTTTTTTCTTGTGGTATTTGATTTATTGCTGCTGCATTTATTTCCATATTTATTCTTTATTGCTATTCAACTCAATACATATTTCTTATTATAATTGGAAATTGTTTAAAATTGATCTTTTCTTTTCATTCTTTTGTATAATGATTAAATTTACAGATATCTATGTTATTATATAAGATGGAATTTATTCTTAAATATTATTTTATTCTCATATAATCGAGTAATTTTATGCATTCATTTGAAGATCTTTCTTTTTTTTTTTTTTCTTTTTCTTGTGTGTAGCTTATTAGTTGAATGTCAAATATCAGTAAGACGAGGAAAATTTTAACAAGGATATTGTAACGATTTGGATAAGCGGTAAAGTTTCTGTTTTATTTTTTTAATAATCTTGTTTTTAGAAAAAACATCATATTTAATATTTTATTTTTTATTAAAAATGTTGACACCCTTTATGAAAATTTTCAAAAAATAACACAGAAGAATATTTATGACCGTGCGCAATGCGGTCTATGCTTGCTTCGTAATAATATATTTTTTAATATTTTTAAAATTTTAATTCGATTATAATAATTTTTCATGAAATCAGAGTTAACGATTGTTTGCTTGTTTTAACTCAACTGTAAATAATCACGTTTATAGCTTCTTTTAATTTTTTTTATACAAATATTTGTTTTTGCATATCCAAGTCAATATTTCTCAAGAGAATATGCCAATCATCCGTCACACGAGGAGGTAATTATAATCTTATACACATTTTACCAACTTGCGAATCTTTTCTTATTTTAATTTTTCTCGTATAATTTATACCGTATTTTAAATTATGATGTACATTTTCTTATATATATGTTTTTTTTTTACATTGACTTTGCAATTGACATTTCATGGTAGCATGATTGCAACACAATGTCTTCGCATCAATGATAAGTCGTATGCACTTTGATTCCTTCGGTCACTCAATCATATCGTCGACGAAATATCTTGTGTGTAGCTTATTAGTTGAATGTCAAATATCAGTAAGACGAGGAAAATTTTAACAAGGATATTGTAACGATTTGGATAAGCGGTAAAGTTTCTGTTTTATTTTTTTAATAATCTTGTTTTTAGAAAAAACATCATATTTAATATTTTATTTTTTATTAAAAATGTTGACACCCTTTATGAAAATTTTCAAAAAATAACACAGAAGAATATTTATGACCGTGCGCAATGCGGTCTATGCTTGCTTCGTAATAATATATTTTTTAATATTTTTAAAATTTTAATTCGATTATAATAATTTTTCATGAAATCAGAGTTAACGATTGTTTGCTTGTTTTAACTCAACTGTAAATAATCACGTTTATAGCTTCTTTTAATTTTTTTTATACAAATATTTGTTTTTGCATATCCAAGTCAATATTTCTCAAGAGAATATGCCAATCATCCGTCACACGAGGAGGTAATTATAATCTTATACACATTTTACCAACTTGCGAATCTTTTCTTATTTTAATTTTTCTCGTATAATTTATACCGTATTTTAAATTATGATGTACATTTTCTTATATATATGTTTTTTTTTTACATTGACTTTGCAATTGACATTTCATGGTAGCATGATTGCAACACAATGTCTTCGCATCAATGATAAGTCGTATGCACTTTGATTCCTTCGGTCACTCAATCATATCGTCGACGAAATATCCGAATGATTAGCTATATATATAAAATTTTATACAGAGCACAATGATCGCAGATACTTATTGTATCCGTGAATAGTAATACTTTCGGTTTTTTATTTATTAGTTCGGGTTAAATTTTCTTGTACATCGTGCTTTTAAGTATTAGTCAGTTTTCAAATTAGTTAGTTCTATCAAGTTATCACAATCTCTGATCGGATCGGGGATCACGGTCTTTCGCGTGACAATCTGTTTCAGAAAATAAAATTTGAAAAATCGAGGACGAAGCTGAAACGAATGGACGGTGCCACTCGTTTCTGGCTTCGCTCAACTATTTTTCGAATTCCGTGGTCGCAAAGTTTTCGGTTTCGAAACGAACTTGCGAAACGATATTTTGCACACGTACAGATAACGATACAGATTCGTCATTACGATCGTTGATGTGCATTCAATTTTTTCTTTATTATTATTATTATTTTTTTTTTTATCCATTAATGAATCTCGTACCTTAAGTTTTAACAAGTATGGTGTCCAAAGAAAAGAACGTCAGAAGAAGTCCGTCAAAATGTCGCGAAAAGTGCTGCAACGAATGCTGCTTCTCATTTTTTCAAAATCTTGTTTAAATCCAAAGAATGAGAAGTTATTGTTACTACTTTTCAATTATGCTCGTTTTACGTACTAATACGTGATACGTATTAATTGTTGTTTAGCCGATCGCATGCCGAATTACCGAATCTAATTATCTTGAGCATCGTAATTTTGTATTAGTGTTGAGATAAGTAAATTACTGGTTAAATTAGTGTTGCGTTTACAAATCTCCTGTTTCGAATTAGCGTTACGATAAAACGATGATCGCGTTTGCTATAGTGTTTTTTAATTAAATTTTAATTAAAAAATATCGCGATTACTTTTAACTACTTTGATTAATGAATTGTTATATTTTCTTATTGTTTCTCTTTCAATTTGTATTAAATTTATTTTACGAATTAAACGTTGCATTGATACATGATCGCGTTCTTAAAGTAGCGTTGCATTTTTACAAATTGTCCAAATTTCTTGAATATACGTTAAATATATTCCTGTCTCTGAATCATCTATTGCAAAAATGTTGCAGAAAAGTGATTGTACTGACGGCAGCCTTTGATATGGAAGCCTACGATCTTCCGTTGTTAATGTTGCAAAATATGAGTGTACAAATTAGTTTATTAAAATTTCTAAATAATTAAAACATTTTGAATGAGAATGTATTTTTTTTCGCAAATCTTTTTTTTTATTTTTTGCTCAAATCAAGAATTGCGTTACAATTGAAATAAGAAAAAGTGATTTTCTTTTTTTTTTTTTTTTAATTTAATATATTAGTGTTATATACAATATGTTAGCGAAAGGAGAAAGATATTTGTTCCAATTCATATTATAGTATAGTGTAGAAGAATTTATATTATTTTTTGAGTAACTTTTTCTGTTACCTATTTATCTCTTTCTTTTATCTAATATTTCCTTATTGTTGTGCATTATTTAGTCGCTGGTATCTATGATAATAGGAATAATAGTAATTATTTATATGTTTTGCACTATTATAATTATTTTATCGATAAAATCATGTTCCACGTTATCATGTATCGGTATCATTGTTATAGTAAAGATTGACTTTAACGTCATCTACCATATCAAATCCATACTGCCATCTGGTGACGGTTTTTCGCAAAAACACTAGCATGGACGGGAGAATCCCCACTCTGAGTGGGGCAGTCTCCAAAGCGCGGGCTAAGGTTCAAGTTGCATTTTAGATGCGAACGAACGCACGTCGTTTTCGGTTAGTGGTCATGAACTAAGTTTCGTGAAATTTGACAACTTCTGCGAAGGAAAACAGGATCGAGTGATTATAATAATTTCGTTGTGAACTCTACGATCCATAGAGTTGGGTAAGTCTCACAGTGACGTTTCTTCACACGAGTGATTCGTTTTGTTTTTTTTTTTTTTTTTTTTGCCACGTACAAAAATGTCAACGTTATCGTTTCATCGATTCTTATCGCAAACATTCTCGCCTCTTGATGATTCTACATGTGTGCTGCATAATAACATCGTTACGTTTTTTGTGATATTTATCGAACGAAACCATCATATTTACCGCGTTAAATTGCACGTGGTATTGAAATACGGAGGCGAAACACATCCGGCATTACGTGATTGCTTGAAAGCCGGACAAATCATATGTAATTCGAATTAATGTCAACGGAAGTCGTTTGAATGTACGTCGAGCGTATTTGGTTGTCGCGCAGTGCTGCGTACCACACGTGATAGTCGATTCGCTCGATGTTTCTTCGTGAGTTGTTTCGATCGATATTGATCGATAGCTTTTTCAAAAACGAAAAGTCGAAGATATACGGATGCGTGGCGCGATCGCGAACAGAGACTTTATTATTCGCTAGCTCTATTATATCCTCGATGATCCAGTGATTCTGTTATTTCGGAAAGCTTATCGATATATAAAATCATAAATTGGCGCGTTTCGTGGAAAAGTCGCGTAGTTGGCTCGCAGTATACGCTTCGATCGCTCGTTAAAAAAGGATTAATCCGAACGATTACGTTGATTATCAAACGTTTCGGGATGTGAAAAGTATTACGACAACATCGTGAAGAAGTTTTCACTTGTCTCGCCAAATTATTTTAGCGGCAAAGATTTAATTAATAGAAAGGATACCTTAAGTTAATTTAACAATCAATCGATTTAATCGACTTAATATAATAGTTTCTATTCATAAATACAAAATACCACAAGGCTTTTCTCCATTTACTCCATTATTTTTGCCTTATGTCTTTCACAAGAATTTTGCGTTTCCTATTCTATTCAATTACCGTTGCTAATTTCTCATTGTTCGGTGATAATTAAACGAAATTGTAGCACGTACGCGGCATGTGCAGTATGCAACGCCTTCCGTGGTTTCAGATATTCGCAAACGGGTTTGAGGGGAGGGGACGACATTGTATTTTTATTTTCTACGGGATGGTTCTTTTTTTTTTTTTTTCTACATTATACATCGCCAACGTCGAACGCGCGGTTCACATCGCGGATGCATGTGCACGCACGATTGCGAGGAATCCGAAATGCTATTCGGCCGGCATAATCCGGCCAAGCATCGCCGCTAAATTACCATTCGAATTGATTCGACGGCAGCATTGCCGCACCACCGATGCCGCGATTTATTTGGAAATCGTAACAATGCCATTTTCGCTGAACGGTGTAAGGTCCGCTCCTATTGTCGGGATCAGGCCCGCGTCTAATGTTCATCGCTGAATTATCCGTCCTGTTATTAACCGCGGGATCGTGTTTCCACGCTCGGCTCCATTTTCCAACCGAAAGATCATCATTACGGATTTACGTATACGATGCTTTTTCAAGGTTAACTTCCAACCACAAACAAATTGTAAACAGATTTTATACAATGATATTTTTATCGCGTTTCCCGAGGGTAGATACATTAAAACACGATGAAAAACGTTATACGCGTGTATTAGAAGCGATAAAAAAGAATTGATTGACATGGCAATAGAATAATTTCAAAAGTGATCACGTAACCGTGTATTTTTATATATAAATTGTTGGAACGAATTGGATGAAACGTTGTTCACGGCAGTTTCAACTTTCCATCTCGTAGATATTGGAAATTGCAATCGCTCGTTGCGTTATTTGTTTGTAAATAAACAAAAAAATTAATTGCGAAGAGTCGAAAAAAACAGCATCGCTTTTAAACGGTGAAAGAACAATATTGTTTTTTACCAAGTTGAAAAAACAGTATTCGTTTCAAAACATAAAAAGTTAATATTTTTTTTTCGTTATCGCAAAAAAAAAAAAAAATAAAAAAGAAAGAAAGAAAAAGAAGAGAGGGGAAAAAAGTGTACATCGTCGTTAAAATTATGCATTATGTCGTTGGAATTTCACAATTTAGGCGAAACGCATAACGTTGAAAACACGAACGGGCCACCAACTCTTAAACTTCGATTCGTTCGAGGAAGACAAATCTTGAAAATCTTTGTCTCGTCCGTGGGATTAAAGTTTATGCAAATTATCGCACGGATCCCCGACGATTCGATTCGCACGTTCTATCGTTCTCGAGATGCATCTTCTTCTCTCTCTCTCTCTCTCTCTCTCTCCTGTTTATCCTTCTCCGCCACGCGCATTTAAAAACTGCTAATCTGAGCTGACCTGTTCTTGCACAAAAAGAACTCGTTGAAAAGTTTCGTCCGGCGACGAAATCGATATTCGGCAACAACCGAAATTTCATTCGAGCCACGCCATTAAACCATAATATTTAATCATATAAAACGTATAATTTTCATCTACGATGATTCGAACAAGGACAAATATATATTTGTTGTTTCGAAGAAAAATAGATTGCGATGTTTTTAGAGGAAAAACACCCACGTAGTTGCGAGGATAAAATTGGCGGGTGTCCATCTATTAGCACACGTAAGAAGGAATAAAATCTCGTCACATTTATTTATTTTCCCCGATCGCGTTTCGTCCATTTCGATTCGAATTGGAATGCTAACGTTGGTAAGTGGATGACGAGTGGAGAAGCGAGCTAGGGTGAAAATTAGCGGATGAGAAGGATGAGGAGGGAACGAGAGCGACACACTCTCGTATTTTTCTCAGCCTAACGAGATTTGAACGGCCACTTTAGGGCGTCGTGAAAATCCTTTTCAGTGGGCACTCCGTGTATTGTTAACCAGTGTCTCCTCTGCCTCGCGATTCGATTGTCCCCCCTTTTATTTTCTTTCTTCTTTCTTCCTTCACCAATTTCCCTTCCCTTCCCTTCTCACGATATTGTATATAGGATCAAGACCGATCGAATTTAGCTCCGCGCTCTCTTCAACTGAATTTAGAGCTGGTATAGCTTCGGTTCCAGGCCTGAATACGCGCGCATACGTTGAAGAGAATCGTCTTTCCTCTTTCGGAATATTTGTCGCGATTATATCTCTCCTTCCTTCCCTTTTTTTTTTTCTTCATCGACTATTAACTATTAACGATCCCTTTATCCATCTCAGAGGTAACGTGTTACGTTAAATCGTACGCGACAATCGTCTCGCAATTTTACCATAGAATCTTTGTATCTTTCGATCATCGTTAAATCAAGTAATCCCCCCCTCTGCGTCTACGTTTTCAAGTTTCTTTTAATATCGAATATACATGAAACGGCCCGTTTTTAATCTCCGCGGGGGGATATAATGGAAATCGATATACACGGAATCGTCTCGTCGTCCCGTTAATAAACGAAAGGCAAGAAGATTTATCGCGTCGGACATTTGAATGTACACGGATTACGATCCTCGTACGGTTCTTTGCGAAAGTCTTGGCAGAAACTTGGTCTCCGAAAACGATTCCTCCCTTTCGAAATTGTTCGAGCACGCGGGTTTATTTATCCGACCAAAGAGAAAGAGATTCTTCCTTCGTTTTTCTTCCTTCCCACGCGTATAATCGCCAGCCATGCGTTTCATTTCGGATCCGTAAACGGGGATACAGAAAATTAATCGAATCGAATTTTCCCAAGTTTCAGTACAGTTTCAATTAAATACTCGATACGATTATTTCCAATTTTCTTATCCAACGAAAAGAAGAAGATATTCTTTTCCGTTCGCGAGTGAAGTTAAAAAAGTGAAAAAGGAAAGGAGAAATTGATACGTCGAGTACGATTTATTCCTTTTTTTTTTTTAGGTGTCCTTTACACGAACGAAATGGGACGAAAGAAAAGAGAAAGAAAAAAAGACGAAAAGAGAAAAAAAGAATAGTTTGATTTTCGATCGCAATCAGCGAAGAAGAAAAAAAGAAAAAAAATATTTGGATCGATAGAAATCGGGAAACGACGTGGCTTGCAGACCGGCGTCGTATAATCACGATGCCAGCCGGTGTTGCGCGTGACGGGCCGCGATCAAATAAACCGTTTCGTCAATGTTTGTTACATACAACTTTGCAACTTTGTTAAAAACTGCCACCGGCCGAGTACTTTCATCGGTGCCCCGTTTATTTCAAACGGGGACGTTGTTTTGCTCGATTTTCCTTTTGAAAGTCAACGCGATATCGTTGCGCGCCCGCCTCCTCGACACCCACCCCTATCCTCTCTGCGTCCAATCTCCCAACACGTGGAAACACGCCCGACTTTTTTCCCCTCCGAGTTCAGCCAACAGGTTCGCGGGAACGGAAGTAAGTCGCGCGTTTATTTGTCCCAATTCTCTCTCTCTCTCTCTCTCTCTCCCTAACGTAAATAAGCCTTGAATTTTTCCCTCCTCCTCCACCGCGATACGTTCGATTTTCAACCGCCCTTTTCCTTTGCATCCTCATTCGTCCTCTTATATTTTTACGCGTATTATTTCGGAATCGAAAATGTTCTCGCGGCGAATCGAATGAGCGGCAGCATCAGCTTTTTCTTACACCCCTGTTCGGGTGATGTTTGACGGGGGACGGGAAGGACGCGCGACACGAAACCAATTCCAACGGAACACGTTGCCCACGTTGCTTGTTGTTTTCATGACTGACGGATGCAACGGTGAATTAATCCCGTGGCAAAGTGGAGGCCGCCACTATACAACGGAATAATCGGCGTGGACAAATAACACGGTTTAACGACGATTCGTTCGATTTGCCCGACGAATTCGTGGAAGGATATAATGTTTTTCGACATTTCTTCTTTTCTTCCCGTCCGAGCGAAACGTTATTAAATATCGTTATGATAAAAATTCTTGTTAAATCGAAACTTGTTTAAATTGCGAAGATAAAACGGCTTCGTTTATCTAAACGAAGTTACGTCGAAAAGAGAAATGGACAACGGGAATTATCGATCGATATCAATGACGCGTGTTTATCGGTTTTTAATTTGAAAAACGCTTTCACCGAGTTACAAATCGAGAAAGCCTCGGGTTAATGGAA